ATTTCCCACACCTTCTTTATCCATTCATCGGTCGATAGACATTTGGGCTCTTTCCACAGTCTGGCTATTGTTGATAGTGCTGCTATTAAAATCAGGATGCATGTACCCCTTCGATTCTGTACTTTTGTGTATCCTTTGGGTAAATACTAATAGTGCAACTGCTGGGTTGTAGGGTAGTTCTATTTTTAACTTTTTAAGAAACCAACTATATGGTTTTCCAGAGTGACTGCACCAATTTGCATTCCCACCGACAGTGTGAGAAGGTTCCCCTTTCTCCACAACCTCACCAACATCTGTTGTTTCCTGAGTTGTTAATTTTAGCCATTCTGACAGGTGTGGGGTGGTATCTGTATTTCCCTGATGATGAGTGATGTTGAGCATCTTTTCATGTGCCTGTTAGCCGTCTGTATGTCTTCTTTGGAAAAATGTCTATTCATGCCTTCTGCCTATTTCTTAATTGGATTATTTTCAACAGGCATTTTAACAGAATGATTATTCACCATTCTTAAGTGAATACTGTAACCCAGAACTATCTTTAGAGAGTAGATAGTATAGGGAGTAGTTGCTGCTAATAAGTCATTAACATGATAATTTAGCAACGGGTGATGGTGTATCTTTTTGCAGATATAGATATATCAAAAAAAACAAACAAAACACCTGTGTTCCGCATTTCCTTTACTTTTTTTATTAATCAATTTGTATTAAACACCATAATAGGGACTTCCTTCTATTCCTTCTCGTAAAAGGGAAAAAAATTTCTCCCAGGAGAGAACATAGAGGAGTGATGAAGAAAACATTTAAACCATTTTTAAAATCACGGCTGACATAGAAATAAGGTGAGGGGGAAAGTCAGAGCCAGGAAACAACAAAGCAGATTCCACACGGGTGAGAGCCTGGAATAGCATTTGCTCTGAGGTTGTCAGATAATTCCTAATGCCTGGACCTGGGCTTTAGCAAGCCACAGGGCGACTGGGGAAGGAGGTAGTGCCAGGTATGGTGCCAGGGCAGGGAGGAGGGTCAAACTAGACACTCGGGTGCAGAGCTGGGACTCTTGACAGGTAATGTCAATGATGAGTAAGCCAGGAAATACCCTGCTTTGCAGAAGGAATCCTGCCTGTTTCAGCCTTGACTCTGGATGGAAGAGAAACAAGATAAGTCTCCCCAAGGAATTCCCAATAACCAAGTTGTATTTTTTCACACCAGCAACTAAAATTCACACTACCTGTATGACCAAACAAAACTTCAGCTGAAAATATCATTGAAAGTATTTCCCTGTTGGTAATGCCCCTAAATCCCTGTCAGAAGCAAACACAAATCTTTCTAGAAGAATGCTCTTTAAACTCAGCCTTAAAGAGAAAAAAAAAGTTCCAAAGTTCCAAACAACACAAACATATAAAAGATCATCGAAGAAGAAATAAGTCACCATGAAGAGGGTAAGAGTTGGCAAACACAACAAACCACAGAATTGGGCCACAAAGAGTGCAGATATTAGAATTATTAGACTCGGCCTATAAAATAGATATGTTTAATAAGTTTAAGAAATCTAAGCAATTGAGGGGCACCTGGGTGGCTCAGTCAATTGGATGTCCGACTTCAGCTCAGGTCATGATCTTGTGGTTCATAGGTTCGAGCTCTGTGTTGGGCTCTGTGCTGACAGCTTGGAGCCTGGAGCCTGCTTCGGATTCTGTGTGTCTCTCTCCTGGTCTCTGCCCCTCCCCCTCTCATGCTCTGTCTCTCTCAAAAATAAATAGTAATCATTAAAAAAAATGTTTAATAAATCTAGGGAATTGAAAATGAAACAAAAGAAAAATAGGCAGATTGCAAAAATATTGCATAGTACTTACAGAAATATAAAATAATTAAAAATAGAAAGTGAACAAACAGCTTAAGCAGAACATTAAGTACAGTTAAATACAGACTTAAGTTATATACAGGTAAGTACAGAGAGTTAGTGAGCTGGAATTTACATGCAAAGAAATTACTTGGAATATAGCACAGAGATAGCCAAAAAACAGAAGATGAAAAGGAAAGGTTAAGAGACATGGAGGACAGAGGGAGGAACACCAAATCACACATGAAAGGAGAAAAGCAATGTTCAAAGAGAGCTGAGAGGGGCGCCTGGGTGGCGCAGTCGGTTAAGCGTCCGACTTCAGCCAGGTCACGACCTCGAGGTCCGGGAGCTCGAGCCCCACGTCGGGCTCTGGGCTGATGGCTCAGAGCCTGGAGCCTGCTTCCGATTCTGTGTCTCCCTCTCTCTCTGCCCCTCCCCCATTCATGCTCTGTCTCTGTCTCAAAAATAAATAAACGTTAAAAAAAAATAATAAAATAAAAAAATTTAAAAAAAAAGAGAGCTGAGAATATGTTAAGATCTGATGAAAGACAACGATCCTCTGATGCAGGAAGCCCAATATACCCTACACAGGATAAAATGAAATTAAAATCTAGGCATATTGCAGGGAACTACAAAGATGATCTTAAAGCAGCTGGAGAGAAAACAGATTTTCTACAAAAGAACAATGATCCGACCAATCAACTTCTCAGCTGCACAAATGAAGTCAGAGAAGGAATAATATCTTCAAAAGGCTGAAAGAAAATAGCCATCGAACTAGTAATTTATATCCAGTGAAACTGTCTTTCACACAAACATTGGGAGAATTTACAACCAAAAGAGTCTCACTTAAGGAATTTCTAAAAAATAGCCTTCAAAGAGAAGGAAGGCTCTCAGAAAATCCTAGGTGTGACACTAAACAGTAGATAAAGAAAATGGGAAACTTGTGAGTAAATGGAGACAGGCATTGTCTTCATATCAGTAATAACAGAAGTGAGGGTGAAAAGTAGTGACAAAACAAAAATCCTGGAAAAAACTGCGTATATGTCAGGACAGGATTGATGAGGATATTTTAATGCACTTATATTTCCCAAGAGGAGAGTCAAGGTATTTATTAACTTTTAGAGTTTAAGTTAAATATTCACATTGAAATTCCTAGATTAATCACTTAAAAGAATAAAAGAAAGTATGTATAACTTGCAAAATTAACAGGAGATAAAATAATGAAATGGGGGTGAAGAAAGTGGGGAGGGAGAAAAAAAAGAAACATAGAAAAAAGTATGAGAAATAAAAAGCACAGAATAAGGTGGTTAAAATGGCCGAAATGTTTACCAGTAATCACAATCAGAGCAAAGAGATTAAACTTTCTGATTAAAAGACAAACCAAGACTGTCCGGGCGCCTGGGTGGCTCAGTCAGTTCAGGTCTGACTTTGGCTCAGGTCATGATCTCACGGTT